AACAAGTAAGCTTCTTGAATGACATACACACTCATATTCTTTGAGAAACTTTAGGTATAGACAGGGTCTATATTTTTCAGGAGTAAGTTACATATTCAGTTCAAAGTTTCATTTTCTCTTGGACTCCACAGGAGAGACCACAATAAAGAGAAAGAAGCCCAATCAGGTCTAGTGGTTTGAAGCCTGACCCATTCCTAGTAAAACCAGAGATCTAACATGGTGTCAGGGCCCTACGTGCCTTCCCAGTGCTCTAAAGGGAGTCCCACGTAATTGTTACAAATAACACTTCTTGTACAGTTCCTAAGTATACTACAGCAGTGCTTCTTGGGTACTTTGATAAAATGCAGATTCTGGCTTGGTGGGGCCTGGGTTAAAACTCAAGATTTTATGTTTTTAAGAAATTCTCTTTTGGTATCTGTCTATTCTTCTGGTTTATGAACCACTCTTGGCAAAACTCTAGAATAATGAATCTCTTCCTCAGCTGCCTGTGTGGCTTGACTCCCTCATTTCAATCTGATCTTTGCTCAAATATCTCCATAGTAGCCCAGCTTTCCCTGGTCACTATATATTTTTCTTATCATCTGTGTGTTATTTTTATGCTACTTATTACCTTTGGATATATTTATATTACAGAGGGTCTTTTTTAGGATCACTGTGTTGTCATTTTCCTGGAACACTGAAACACAGCAAGTGGCCAGAAAATAATGTTTAAATGAAAAAAAATGAAACACATGACTTAACTCCATAAAACAAACTAATGAATCTCCATGCAACAATTAAGTCTAGATCTTGAGCATATTTTTAGGAGCTCACCTTCCTTGTTAAAGAATAAAAGGTACTATGTTACAAAGCAAGAGCTTTAGATTTTCTGTAATGCAGAAAAAAGGAAAGTTATCTAATAATGTCACTAATGGTTTTGTAACAAAACCTACCTAAAAACTGTGTCAACATAACATTTCCGATTGAGGGATTCACACAAATTCCAATTCAGGAATTTATTTAAGACTGATGCATCTAATAGAAAAGCTCTATGCCATCCATTCAATATTCATGTGGCTAACATTTCTTAAGCATCCACTCTTACTATTTATTTGTTTGCATACTGAAACTATTATGTTGTACTTCTAAAATATTTTTACTGTACTTCAGTAACTCCATTAGTATAGTCAAATTTGTACTGAACAAATCTACCTGTAAGATAGGGCATTCCTATCTCTCTAGGACCTCGTTGGATCGAAGCAATGTACAAATTTGGACGAGAAACATACCAAGTGTCAGAACTCATATCTGGGAATTTCAGAGGAAGACATCCACATAAAAATTAAAATGAAAATTAAAGCTGTCAAGGGCCTTCAAGATGAATGGGAGTGACAGGGGAAAGTGTGAGCAGAGACATCCAAGGAAAGGAACCCCGTGGGCAAAGGCACAGATATGAAGCACTTTGGGCCCAAGTTCTGGAGCAGGAAGCAATTGTGTGCAGAAGAAGAAAGTGAAAAGTGAGGATGGATGGAGGCAGTTGGGTGAGGGGCAAGGGCATGGAATCAGCTGGAATGTACAATGGAGGGCAAAGGGCTTGTACACAGGAATGTTGGGCTCACTTTTTTTTAAGAAAGATACCTGAAAGCAATGCAGAGATGAATGGGGAAGGTAAGGAAAGGAAAGACTTGGCAGGGAGGAGGGTGGGAGAGGACAGGGTATTATTTTTCTTCGTGTGGAAGACATTCATTATCTGAACATGGGTAGGTAAGATTTTGCAAGAATTAGCTTCCCATAGTGCTTAAGGGAATTATTTCTGAAGGACCTAAAATATGATCTTTAAAAAGAAAGAAAGAAAAAAAAGGAAAGAAAGAAAATAAGTTCACTATTCCTCATTATTAATGTTATTATTCATGTAATACACGTTAATTAACAAAGTAAGTACATGACACAAGTTTTTGAAAAATGGTAAAAATGAGTCACAGTCAATTCTCTAGAGAGGAACAATATTTGTATAAAGTTTTCAAATTAGTTTGAATTCTACTACGTTAAATTATACAATGCATATAATTGATGATGGATCAAGTCATTCAGACCACTGGGAACATGCTCGTTTTAAGCAGAATTCTGTGTAATAATTTTGGCCTCACTCTGCAGAGTGAAACATTGCCAAAGGAAAGATTTATTGCTCTATTATAATAATTAGAAATTATTTATAACTATTTCAAAAATGTGCTAAGCATCATAAAAACATAGTTGGGAATGGTTTCATATTTTTCAATGTATGCTTATTTAGTAATTCTCTTCTGTCTTTGAGGCAAAAATGAAAAGTACAAATAAGTAAAAATAAAGAATCCCTTTGATCTTCAATTACCTTTAAGTGGAAACTCAAGTACTGAGGTATGACAAAGCTTTTAGCCATTAGTTCAGCAACTCTTTAGAAAGTACAAGCTATAAACCAGAGAGATCTGTCAGTGGAGAAAGCACAAATATGATGTTTGAGAGCAGAAGTCATAGTTTTGTAGTTTAAAGAATAGTTTTCTCCCTCTTTTCTAAAACAGAAATTTCAGCCACTGCTGAAAGCTCTTTCCTGTAATCCTAGCTATTTAGGAGGCTGAGATCTGAGGATCATGGTTCAAAGCCAATCTAGGTAGAAAATTCCATGAGGCTCTTCTCCAACTAACCAGCAAAAAGCCAGAAGTGAAGCTGTGGCACAAATGGTAGATCACCAATCTTAAGTGAAAAATCCCCAGTACTGGCACAATAAATAAGCAAACAATTAAAATAAAATAGAAGTCTCACCCATTTTAATGGGCTAGCTCCATTCTGCTATTTCCATGACATTACCAATGCACTGTCATGGTCTTTGAAGGTTTCTCCTTTCTCTGACCTTTTAGAACTCTTAGAGCTAGTGCAATTAAGTGCAATTAATACAAATGTTGGTTATATGTCATTGGAACTGATCTTTATTAAACATATATAAGTATTTTAATAAGATTAAAAATATCTAGTAATATGGAGCAATTCATTTTGAATTCCCAATAAAGCATTTGGATATGACTAAAAACATATTTCCTAGCAGCCTAGTTTGTGATCACATCAAAATAATAATGTCAATTAAGTCTTCTTTTAGCATTGTCATAAGGTTAGAAAGGTCATAATACTAGTGCAAATAGAAAGTAACTGGGGGAAATTTTCTAATGGAATCTCATAGCACATTCTTCAGTACCTGTTATTTTTAAAAGCAAATTGCTTTCTATTTCCTAAAGGTGTTGTACAACTTAAATGTCCTAAATGACTGAAACAACAATCCAATCAGTTTTCTATTTCAAACAACAGTTCAATTATGGATGCTTACACATAAAGTTTACAAAAGGAGAATAAAACTGATTGCTTTTTGTTGCCCCTACTACATTTCCAACTGATTTAATGCTGTAACAAATTAGAACACTGTTAGATTATCAAAATGGGAAATCATTTTATGAATCCAATCTGTACTATGGCAATTCAAAAGAAATTTCTTATTTGTAGGTTTCCTTAGAAGACTTTATAAGTCTATGTATATGATTTATAAAACATGCTTTAAACAGGCATCTTGCTAAAGGAGAACAAATTATCCAAATAAAGTCCAGTGCTTTAAGAAAACCAAGCTATAAGAAAGTTTCATTGGAAATATGAAGATGATATTGTAGAAGATGATAGAAGTCATTCCCTTTTAGTATAACCTCTAAAGAGTGAGTCATTCTATTCATGGAATGTAAACACTTTGGTCACTAACAAAAGCTTCCAATTGATGTAGCTGTGGTCTTGTCTTGTCAGTCTGTAGAACTATCTGAGTGAAATTTTCAGAAGTAGGAAACCAGTCAGGCATTTTTGTCATGTATCAGGGGATGGTCAAATATACAGTTTGAGAAGAAAAGAGAAAATGGAACTTGTAAATCAAATTGTACCAATTCAGATTTTTTCCTGATTTTCTACAGATATTTTGGGTCCATTTACTCCTATTTAGAATAAGAATGGATTAATATGTAAGAAGTGAAAAGAGATCCCAAAAGTGTCTGGAAAGAACATGTTCCTGGGTGTTTTGACCATGTGTTTTTTTGGCAGCCCAAAATCTCTTCTTCACCAGCTTCTGGCCACATCTGGCCTAGGTCAATAGAACAAAACACTTATAAAAAGTCTATATAATGTACTTGGAATATCCAGTTATAAAGTTAGATACAAATGAAGGTAATATATCAAAATACACGTGGAAGAAAGTGTTTGCTTTAGCCTTACGTAGAACATGTGTTTGGCCACCATTAACCATAGAAGCTATCACAGGCAAGACACAAACTTTGAGATTCCAAATAACATCCAAGGAGCTCCTTCATAAGCACAGAGGTTCTTCCTTGATGACATCTTGCACTACGTTCAACCGGTCACTAATCCTCTGTGCTAGCCATGTGTACAAAGCAATTAACTATACCTCTTGAACACAGAAGCCATCTCCTTCCCTTTTTTTTTTGCACTAAATGTAGCCCACAATTATGCCTAATTCTGATTCATTAGACAATGAGTTCTCTCTGTACAAATTTGTTAAGAAATCACCAACACTAAGGTAACATTCCAATTGTATCCCCAAGCCTCATTCTGATCACAGAAAGCTATTTAAATAAATCAGAGTAGTATACAGCCCATCCAGTTTAGAACATCTCACCATCCAACTGATGACAATGCCATTTTACCCAGTTCGAGGATATGGTCATTTATTCCAAGCATGGAATAATATAGAAGAGAAGGGATGAGAGTGGGGAAGTCATCTAAAGCTCTGTTAGTGCTAATAAGAATTAAGTTAATGCCATGGGGAGAGAATATGGTCTAATTATCATGGGCTCTTTCTGTAGAAGAAATTTCGACACCTTGCTTCCCTAAGTCAATTGTGTTTATCAAGTCAGTGGGCAATAAAAAATATGAATATAAGAATATAAATAAGAATATAAATGAAATATGACATATGATTGTGATTTTGAGGGCTGACTGACCTTCAGGTTGATATTGTGCTATGATCGTCACTGTCTGTCCAGCCCCCTTTAGTGCGGCAGCTGCCTGCTCATGAGATGCTCCACGAAGATCAATGCCATTTACCTGAAAGAGAAGACATTCGAGAACTTTAGGCACAGTAGCTACATTTTTGTTAAGAGATTCTTTAAACTCTCTAAAATTGTGTTATATGTCTCAAAACCCTACATGTGTATTTCTTAGCAAGTTTATGGTCTTGCAAAGGGATGTAATGTTATCTCGTGGTGCTTCTGGCCTGGTTTCACTGGATTGGAAACAGTTTTGGCTATGTTCACTAGGACGTAGTATGTACAGTTACCAGGACATTGTGAGTTTCCTAGCTTTCTCTGGGGGTAGAGGTGAGTCTTCAAAATGAGAGGGGAAACAGAATAATGAAAAGAAATGCATGCAATGTACTTAGAGAGGTATGTGCCGACAGATTAATACACTCAGATGAAGTTCTGGAGAGAGTGATGGAATGGGGCTGGCTGGCTGCCAAATCTCTCTTTGGGCGACTGCCTAGTCCTGTCATACTGAGCTTGGTGAGACAGCCCTGAGCTCTGTTCCAAAATAAACTTGACTGCCCCATTTCTCATATGCAATTCCATAATAACTTCTGACAAAATGAAATCAAGAGTGCCTAGAGTTTAGTTTGCTCTTGCTAACTCCTATTTTTCAGGCCTACGCTGAAAGAGAAAACATCTAAAAAAAAAAAAACCCAAAAACAAAACAAAAAACTGAGCCCTAAACGTTGCCAGGGTATCAAATTATCTTTTCAGTCCAATTTAGTGAGAAGCAAAAGCTCAGAATCTTTCTTAAATCAGTTCAGTCTAAGTCAACAAAATATCAAGTTGCCAAGGGTTCTGTGACGGCTCTAGAAGGGGGACTTAGGTGAGGCGCAGGGAAAACAAGTATGTCCCAAGATACTTTCTGCCTGAAGTGAACACAAAGTGAGTCAGTTCTCTAAATATAAAGAATTATAGTTATATACATGGTGTCTAACTCTCCTTCCTTGTATTTGTGGGGCAGGATGCTATAATAGACCATGATAGAAGAACAAAAGAATGGGCTATGTATAGTGTCATCTTATTTTGCCTTTTGTAACTAATCCCTTTTTAATTTTTTTATTGTGAAAATACTGTACAGAGGGGTTACATGGGCAAGATAATGAGTACATTTATCAAGCATTGCAGCCTCCTCCTTTGTTTCCCCTTCCCATCCCTTCCCATCCTCCCCCCGCCCCTTCGCACCAAAGTTGTAAAGTTCGTTTTCGACATAATGACTTGTACATCTCATTGTTGCAATGGGTCCACCTGTATCTCTATTTAAACGATTTGTTTTTCCCCTTCCCCTCCACAAATTATACCAACATCAAATACAGTGAAAGCAGGGGTTAGACCGTGGGGGAGGGACATACAAAGCAACAAAGAAATCATCTTATAAATGTGTTAGAAACAATCGCATGAAAGAAAAAAAACATTTGAATACATATCTTAGGGTTCATTTCCCTAACATAAACTTATCTGACTTTTTCTGCTTGACTCAGACATATACTAGTTATTTCAAATAAGGGAAACCATGGGACCTATGTTTCTTTGGGCCTGGCTTACTTCACTTAATATAATTTTTTCCAAGTCTTTCCATTTCCTAACAAATGGGGCAATGTCATTCTTTCTGATGGAGGCATAGAATTCCATTGTGTATATATACCATATTTTCTTGATCCATTCATCTACTGAGGGGCATCTGGGCTGGTTCCATATCTTAGCTATGGTAAATAATGCTGCAATAAACATAGTTGTGCTGGTAGCTTTAGTGTGTTCTTGTTTGTAAACATTTGGGTAAATGCCCAAAAGTGGGATTGCTGGGTCATAGGGAAGCTCTATGTGGAGTCTTTTGAGGAGCCTCCATACTGCTTTCCAAAGTGGTTGAACAAGTTTACACTCCCACCAACAATGCAGTAAGGTTCCCTTCTGTCCACATCCCCTCCAGCATCTGTTGTTATTAGAATTCTTGATTTTAGCCATTCTAACTGGAGTGAGGTGGTATCTCAATGTTGTGTTGTTTTGATTTGCATTTCTTTTATGGCTAGGGAGATTGAGCATTTCTTCATGTGTCTATTGGCCATCCTTCTTTCCTCTTCAGAGAAGTTTCTCTTTAAGTCTTTAGCCCACTTATTTATTGGGCAGTTCTTTCTTTGAGGATTTGTTGTTGAGGGATTTAATTTTTTGAGTTCCAAGTATATTTTAGATATGAGACCCTTGTCTTTTGTATGGATAGTAAAGATCTTCTCCCAATCTGTTGGCTTTCTATTGGTCTTTCTAGCTATGTCCTTTGCTATGCATGAGCTCTGCAATTTCATGCAATCCCATTTGTCCAACCTTTCTTTGATTTGTTGTGTTTCTGGGTCTCTATTAAGAAAATTTTGGTCTGTGCCAACAAGACCTAGGGTTTCTCCTATTCCATCCTGTAATGTTTTCAGAGTGTCTGCTTAGACTCCGAGGTCTTTGATCCATTTGGAGTTGATTCTGGTGCAGGGTGATATATAAGGATCTAGCTTTGTAACTAACCCTTTTTAACAATGAAATTGAGTGGCAGAGGGAAAAGGGTTATCCTTTGTTTCTGCATCCAGCCTAGAATATCATAACCTTTAATTTCACACTCTGGTGTACTTATAACTTTACTAAAGTCCCTTTATTTCTTTTAATAGTTTTATTTGTCCCTTCACTAGCTTTCTGAACTCTTTCTCTCTTTCTTTCTCTCTCTCTCTCTCTCTCTGTCCCTCTGTCTCTCTGTCTCTCTCAGTACTAGGGCTTGAATAACACACTTTCACACCCAGTTTTGGGGTTTACTTGGAGATAACCTCACAGATTTTTCTGCCTGGGCTCTCTTTGAATCTACTCAGCCTCCTGAGTAGCTAGGATTATAGACCTGAGTCACTAGAGCATTCAGTTCTAGTGAATTTTTTACTGCAAGTAGTAACATCAGGAAATCCATTACATTAAGCTTGGCCTGGCAGTGCCACCTGGAGCTGACTGTCATATCACCTCTCAGAGCCTGGATTTTCTTCTACCACAGAGGGAAAGGAGAGTTGGGTTGTTTGGTTGTAAAGATTCCTTGAAGAATGAAAATCCAGATTTATTGTTAGGTAGAAGACTATCATTTCTGAGACTACTAAAAAGGCAGGAGTATGACTTGGGTAAACAAAGGAGGAAATGTTATTCAGGCCTTTCTCAACAGGAAGCTAAATGGCACCATCTTCATATGCCAAATGACTTTTCTTGTAAAACTGTCAGCGTACATTTAAAAACTATGGTCAAGCCGGGTGCTGGTGGTTCATGCCTATAATCCTAGCTACTCAGGAGGCTGAGAGATGAGGATCATGGTTCAAAACCAGCCCAGGCAGGAATGTCCATGAGACTATTATCTCCAATTATCTCCACCAGAAAACCGGAAGTGGCACTATGACTCAAGTGGTAGAGTGCTAGCCTTGAGCTGAAGAGCTGAGGGACAGTGGGCAGGCCCAGAGTTCAAGCCCCTTGACCAACCAAAAACAAACAAATGAAACTATGGTCATGGTAAGTAAATCCTGCTTCATATAATTATGAAAGGAAAAGGTAAATATCCCTATATCATCTTCACTTCTAGAGGTAACCACTTTTGTGTGTACTCCTTACAAATTCACTACTTAAGTACACATGAAGCAGATAGCTTTATTTCTATTGCTTCTTCTACATATATTTTAATATATGATTGCCTTTTCAATAATCAATAGGTCATATAATATATAAAAGCTTACAACTCATTTTCTTTTGTTTCACTTGTCATTTAATAATGTATCTTGAACATCTTTCATAGAGGTTTATATCATTCTACCTTTTTTTCCTGCTGTACTGGGATTTGAACTCAGTGTCTCAAGCTTGCTAGGTAGATGCAGCTCTACTACTTAACCTTTCTACTTTTTCTATGGGAGCCATCTTGTTAATATTTCAACATTTGCAGTGATATATATTAAGGGTCATTTCCCTTCCTCCTTCTTCCCTTCTTTCATCCTCCTATCCTTCCTTTCTTCCTTTCTTCCTTTCTTCCTTCCTTCCTTCCTTCCTTCCTTCCTTCCTTCCTTCCTTCCTTCCTTCCTTCCTTCCTTCCTTCCTTCCTTCCTTCCTTCCTTCCTTCCTTCTCTTTCTTCTTTCATTTTTCTACTATACATACATAGGAATATTTTTATAAAGCACAAAATTTCTTCAAATAAACTTTCTAGTCAAAAGGTATATGGTAAGGTATTCTGCCTTATTGGAAGATTTAGTATGTGTTGTTTTGACCAAGTGCAGTTTTAAAAAGAAGAAAAATTAAAAGACTTTTTTAAGCAAAAAAAGTTAAATTCTCATGTGTATTAACCCAGATCAGCTGATGCAGAGGAGCTGCTCTGAGTCCTGTGTTATTATCATCTGTTGTGTTTAAATCATTGTATGATCTGTTCTGTGTTTCCTTGACCTTAATTTTGTGCAAATCTCCCCACTCCACATCAAGGAAAAAGCAAATTTGCTTAATTGAAGTGAGGTAAGACTTTAAGATTTATTGAAAGGCCATGTGTCTTTAGCAGAGGTTGAGCAGCATTATGGAAGAAAGGAAATCAACTTCCACAGTACAGCCCTGAGCTCTGTGCATGTTGAGCTCCTGTGCTTTTTTCCTGAATGACAGCCACTTTAGAACCCATACCTATGCACTATTTGTTTTTAATTTGCTATTTTATACTTGAAAGAATTGTGGACCCATTAAACATACTGGAACTAATAGTGAAGAAAATAAAATGATTGTAATTTCACTTACCAGGGAACAGTTGGATATAAAATAGAAAATAAATAAGGGCTCAGGAGTAAAGTACCAGATGAGAAAGCATGGGGCCCTGAGTCTAAACCCCAATATCACCAAAGACAAATAAATAAATACGATTCCTATCTGCACACAGTACATACCACACACATAAATGTGAAAACAGTATAACAAAGTATAAAAGGTGTTCCCACTGTCTGGTGTTTCCAATGGTCACCATGTTGTCATGTTGATGGTTCTTCTTCTGTTTGTTT